TATGGGGATCTGCCATTTTTCTTTAGGCCCATTTCTTTCCCCTTTTGTTTGGGCCCAATTAATGGTGAAACGTTGTCGTTCCAATCCCTTCATCCAATCAGCGTGTCCAAATATTTTCTTTTCTATTTATTTGTCAAGCTGCTCGACCGTGTCGTGCCTGCTTGAATTTCGATTTTTTTTTATTCGGCTTCCTGCGGAACGACGCCGTTTCGGTGCCCCAGTCTCACATACCGGTACCGCCCACATTTGTTGACATCCACCGCTGCTTCGACCGGCGGCCGCCGCTTCACCCGATGCCCCTATCACATGGCGCCGCTTTTCCCCTCCAATAGCATGCCTCGCCGCCCTCCTCGTCTATATCTTAAATTTTTGGGTGTGATTTCTACGGTTCAAGTTCCAACGGAGCCTTTTTTCCCAGCCTGTCCCTTTTCCTCCTACTTCGTTCGTGCGTTGTCCTTCTTCTGCCACCACTGCATAATTTTTTACCCTCCCATCTCTATCTGTTATCCCTCATAACTGAGGTTCATTGAATACGAAGTTTTCTTCCTCACCCGTTTTCTGATTTCTTATTTAGTTTCAATTAAACCTGTTTTCCGGCGATTGGCCAGGCGTTCAAGTGACTTGCTTCAAAACTCGGCCAACAGTCGCACCGCCACCGCCACTCCGTTCGGGCCGGCACCTGTTTCGACGCCGCCTCGATCGATCCTCGTTCACGGTGAGTTTCATGTTCATTAGCTCTATTGTTCTGTTTTCGCCTTCGCCTTTCCATTGTTACTACTGTTTTTCTTTTTGGCCTTTGAATATCTGATTGTTACTACAATTAAATTCGGGGTTTTCTATTATATTCATATGTAACTGCTTAAATTTGGGAATTTCTTCAGCTGCCATTTTGTCGGAAGGTATCTTCAATATCAGTAATTGCGCATTATAGTTTTATGACCTTTGCGGGCACTGACTGATGTTTCGTTTTTGTTACAGGTTTGAGAAATTGTTCCAGTATTGGATCTTGACGTGCTGTATTATCCCTGTCCAAGAAATGGCCCGAATTTCCGGGCCAAGGGACCTCAAATGGGTGGAAAACAACAGTTCCCTTACATGGTTAGACACTCGTGTTGTTCGAATAAACCATCCTCTGTTTTTACGCATCGTGCAATTTATGCGAGGTTAACGCTTCTTGTTTGCTTCTTCTTTAGGTGGATCCAAACACGGGAGTCGTTATGTACGAATCAGATGACATAATTAATTATTTGGTTGATACGCGTTTTCCTCACGTATAAATTACCGCAAGTATACAGTATCGCATTTTGCAGAACAGTGGTTCCGGATATCGATCCACAGGGACCTTGTAGATTCACATGCTGAGTAGTGTAATTATATTATCGTTATATTATCTAGCCGATCATAAATATTTGGATTGGTGATAAACTCTAATTTATAAGCATGCAAGATCGTAAACATGCAAATATGGAATGTACGTAAATAAAGTACGACAACTCAACGCGGGGGGACTTCGATTTAAAGGGGACTTCTAGGGCCAAATCCACCTATGTATAATCAACAACGATCTACAAATTCGTTATCTAACTCCACATTCCTATTCGTTAACCTAGACGCTAAAGTACTCTAACCCCCGTCTCCAGTGTAGTTAGAGTCTACCCACAGGTCCGACGTCTCCGTTCAGAACATGCTATTAAGAGAGCATTTAGGCCAAGTCCTTTAGGGCTACCCGAAGTGCATCACGTCTCCGTTTCCACACTCCGAGCTATGTTTTCCTAACTTCAAACAAGAAATCCTCTCTCGAGTTCATTCCTATTTAATATCAATCCCAGAGCTGATCAAACAATCAGAAGCATTTAATACAGGAAAACATAAACGAAATCAAAACACGACAAATAGAAAACAGAAATGACGATCGAAATCAATATATACAAGGCTTCATTACCCTAGAAGAAAATGTTCAGTTCATTACAAACATAGCATCCAAATGAAGAACATGAGAAATCATAAACTAAACGTAAAGAAAAAGCTTATGAAAAACCCGAGTCGAAACCCGAGTCGAAGCTTCCCGCGAAGAACTGACGAAAACCGAAGAAAAACCGAAGAAGAAGTCGAAGCGTGAAGTCGAAGAAGAAGTCCTTTTAGTTGTGAATTGCTTGCTTCTATTTATAGTAAGGTTTGCCTTTTTAGATATTTTTTACACATCCCGAGGCCATATCGCGATATGGGCATCAGTATCGGGCGATATGGCAAAAACCCAAGCTCTCTGTTTCGTTTCTCCCCATATCGCGATACAGGATGGAATATCGCGCGATATGGCAAAAATGCAAGCTCTCTGTTTCATTTCTCCCCATATCGCGATACAGGATGGCAATATCACGATATGGTGACTGTCTGAACTTGAAACTCCGTGTTGACCCTTTTAGGCCGAATTCGACAAAAATGCATTCACAAAAGTTGTAGCCCTGCAGT